ATTAGTTCTTGCATTCTATTCTGCTAAATCCCTTACCTAGGCCTACTAAGAGTTAAGATTAAATGACAGAGTTCTTTCCCTCTGTAATAAAAAATAAAATAATTTTTAAAAAATAATAAAAAAAGAGAGAAACACAATAAGAAAGGTGCACTCATTATTGCTATTATTATTGTTTCTGGCAATACATCAAAAAAATCTTTTAAGAATTCACATTTCAGATAATAGACAAAACATCTATTTATTCATTCATTTTATATGACCTTTGACATAATGCTCTGTATTTTACATTCATCGAGGTTAGTTGGTAAAATTATTCCTGACAAAGACTGGTTCAGGCTGAACTGTTGCTAACATTCTTGTCTTTTATGGTTCCTTTTATGTTGAACAGTGTGCATATCTCCTGAAACTTGATTTTAATATTAATCTAAACACACATCTAATAATTTTTAATTTCAAGGTGCTGGGTGAGTTTTTTTTAAATTATCCTCATCTTCTCATATCAAAGAGAACCATTAAGAAAAACAGACATTTGTTTTCTTTTTAAAGAGAGTAAAACTAATTCATTTGATTCATTAATACCACCCCAGGTTTCTAATTCACTTCCCAAATAGGCTTCTAGGCACTACTTAGCCTTAAGTCAAGCATGCAGTTCTTTTGTGCTATAGAAAAAGCACTCAAAATTTTCAAGATATTGTTTCCCATAAAAATAAAAATTGTCTACTGAAACTGAGCAAGGAGTAATGTTGCTGTTATGCCCTCCGCTTGCATTTTTTTTATTGTTTTTGCCATTTTCTTTTCAGCCTGTGTCGCTTCGTATCACACATGCAGTTTCTTCAGATGTATTCTGTTCTAAAACTGCATCAATTTAAAGCTTCTTGCAGATGCACATGGCCATTATTTTTAAATGATTCAGTCAAAGTTTTTATTATTACCTAGGTTATATTTGCAAGTATTTTGAGCTGTCATTCTTCTCATTTTTACAGATTTTGTTTCTGTAGTCTCGGCTTTCTCTTTCTCTATTTCAGTTTTCCCCTTGGTTCTTACCGTATACATAAGATACTCGGAAGTTACAGTACCAACAACTGAATCTAACAAAACTCATGATCCAAGTCACCTACTTCACAGGCTTTCCCGTGCCTCTCAACTAATTTCTGAACATTTTTACGTACCAAAACTCTGGTCTCTTTTCTTCTAGGCAAAGAATAAAGCTGTTCGTAGGTAGCAGAACTAACGAAGTCTGGTTGTCCGTGGACATGCCCAGTGCCCTCTGCACAACTAACTCTGCCCGCACCTTGGGTACATGTCCTTCAGGACAAGGCTGGTAGTATTGTTTGGCAAATTTGGCAACTGACACATAATGTACAGAGGTCCAAATCTTCTCAGTTTTTCCTCCATCAGATGCTAGACATGATATCCCTCCTCTATCCAGCTGTTAGTTTTGTAGAATTAGAAAGAGCCTGAATTATCTTATTCCACTCTTACTCTCTTATTCCACTTTTCAATTAAGCCGAATTATTTGGGGGGAAATATATTCAAACGTGCACAGCAAAATCTTCTCACAGAAACCAAGCTCAACATAGAGATGTTTTGTTATAAAGCTCTATTTTGGTCTTCTGGTTTACTTACTTCCCCTCCATAGGCCTGTAATATCTCAAGCAGGAAGACATATAATGGTTTCTGAAAGATTTTTCCCTGGGTACTTTTATAAATCAATACCCTCTTTCAAGAACTCAGAAAAGCAAAGAGATCATTTTCTCTCTACTGCTTAACACAGGAACAGATCTCTGGGTAGAGAGTCTTAAAGGATTTGAAGCCTGCCCACTCAATTTCAAAAACCAAGCAGTTTTTCTGAATAAATATATTTCGACTGTAAAATTCATGAGTTTACCAAAAGGCAGCCTTTATCAGCTAACTGAAGATGCCTCATCCACCTTCAGAGTATAACACTGCCCTCCAAAATTCATTAGAATGCCCCATTATGAACTTACATTCTACCTTGGGGTTCATACAATCTTTTTTAAGACATTAACTAAAAGAAGAGTTTTCCAAGAGTCACAATTAACAGGACAGAGCTACAGGCCCTTGCTGGTTCAAGAAGGATGCAGAAGTTTAGATTCTAATCATTCTTCTACACTAAGTTCTTGTGAAAAGTGACACAATGACACTGACATTTCCTTCAAATACCTTTAAAAGTAGAACTACAGAAATCATAAAAAGTTGTCAGTTAATGTGAAAGAACCCAGCTAAAGAGGAGAACCTCCCTTTAGCAGCTAGGAAGGAATTTACATCAGAAGGGTCACAAGAATGTTTTCATTCATTAATAACTGTAATGCACTCTGCAGGCACTTTTACCCCACAGGGAATCAAATTTGGGCTCTTGAGGTCTGTACAGTGTACTTAGCTAAAAGAGATGTTCTGGAAAGTTAACACAGACACCAATCAGAAGTGCCACCTCATTTAAAAAAAGAGAGACTCTGAGCTCCAATTCTGCCAGGAGAGCTGGTGTAAACATTTCCTAAAACTGAAAGAAAATGTGTGAAAAATAACATGGGTAAAAGAAGAGAAAGTTCCTCACCTCTTGTATGGTTAGTTTCTTACCTCAAAAAAAAAAAAAAGGATAAAACTTGCTTATGAAGCTGAAGATGGAGCTTGTTTATAGTCCAATTACCTTCCTTTATCCTCCACAGACTGACTGCATTTAAGACTAAGACTGCCGTTATACTCAAAAGTTTGATCAACATTTGGCAAAATAAGTTATGGATCTCTGAACACTTTTGGCAAACTGCATATTATTTGTTAATCTCAACCATACAAGAAAACAAGCTTCAGATTTTGAATGAGGAAAATCAACTGCACAACCCCTGACACAGAAGTCTTTCTTTAGCACACTAAGTGGTATTCTGCCATTGCTAATTCCCAGAGAATGTCATTAAACTGATTTAACTCATGAGCTACGTAGAAAGGAAAAAGAAAAAAACCACCCTAAGAAAGCAACCCTTCTTTCCTGCTTAGTAGTCAAGACATCACTGAACATCGCAGATAAAGGATGAAGTATTTATTTTATGGATAACAAAAAAAAAAATCTTATTATTGTATGTTGCAGTGTGAACAGGCAAAGTTATCTATAAAGTAGCTTTTATCTCTCAAAAAGCCAGAAGTAGTATCTATTCTTCAGTCTCTCAGGGGGCTGTGCCTGAACAAATCCAGAAAAGTGCTACCTAGGTACGTTAGTTTCACTGGGAGTTTCTGAATGTTCATAGGTGCATTATGGGGCAGCATTTGTGGTTTGAAGGGGTTTTTAAGGGAGCAATAGAGAGAAAGAAGAGACACTGACTTCTGTTTTGGAAGACAATCATTCAACACATGCTTTAGAGTCTAACAAAACTTCTGAACAGATGCAAGAGAGGACAGAATTTCTTTGTAGAGCTCCAAAGGAACATTTAGCCATATGAAAAACTAAAGATAACTACAGCTTCCAAATAATACATGAAAAATGTGTATGCTTTTAGAAGATCAGACACTCCTTCAAATATTTCTTTCAACATTCAGAAGCATTCAGCACAAAGGGCATACTTAGCAACAAACATACAATTCCATGGATAGAAATCACATCAGTTTCATTGTAAGAATTTATAGACTGAAAGTAACATCAATTCCATATGAACCATTCAATACATGGACACTCCGTAAAGAAGGACAGTTGTAGCTATTTCATGTCAGTGAGAAAAGAAACGCAGGCTATCTTCACACAGGCAAAAAAATAATAAAAACTAATACTTTTATGCACTGAATCCAACATCAACATTCTGTATGTCTATTTCATCATTACCTAGAAAAATGGATGAACTATTTGAATAGAGGTAGTTGCATGTGATGGCTATCTAGAGACAGATAGTAGTTATTGAAGAACCCCTAAAAAAATCATCAAGAAAGAAAAGAAACAGAAGAACTAAGTAATGTTCTGAGTAAGAGGAAAAAAACCTGTAATTACCTGACCATTCTGCTGTATAAACAAATATATTTTACAGTCATCACCACCACAAGCCAGTATTGGTACTAGGGAAAAAAAAAAGAAAAAAGGTCTTTATTTCTCAAGTTACAAAATCTAATATTCTAGGATATGAAAAATTATATAGCAAAAATCAATATAGTATCAATATATTAATACAAACAGACAGGCAAGTATGATACCACTTTATGTTTTCTAAATTAGACACCTAATACTGTTTGAAATAAACTAGTATTTCAAGAATACAAAACTCACAATTTACTGGCACATAAATAATATCTACAAATACTTAAGATGCTAAAGAGTAGTTTCCTTCAAGCTCACATATCTGTAGGAAGTTCAAGTATTAGAGATTTTTAATTAATCACGTTTATTTTCTTGATATCAACAGGCATTTGCTCTAAATAGAAAAGGAGCAAGCAGCAAAACAAAATGACTGAAGTATATAGATGGAGGTAACATAATTATTACACGGCAAATAAAAGCAGACCAAAAAAGGAAGACAGATCACCACTCACTGTACACAAGGATATGAAAGCAATTAACATTATTATACACCTACTCAAGTCTTGAATAGTAGTTTACTTCTATGAGCTATCTACAAAGTGCACAAAAAACATCAGTCTACTGAATCAAACCAGACAAAGTTATGGCTAAGGGGAAGACAAGAGAAGTTAGGCTGTGTATTGGTTCATCTCTCCTACAGAAAATGTTGGGGAAAAATAGTTAACCTTTACTCCACTCTTTTTGGGTCATAAGGATGAAGTAGTAATGCTAGGGACTGAAATAGCAAAAGAAAAGGAATTAATTAGAAAATTATGCAGAAATAAGGTATCAGGGCTAGAGATCAGCATTTCTCAAGTCTGGGTAGAAAACAAAATACTAAATTTCACTAAAATCAACTACTTCATTTAAAAAAAAAACTAAATGTCATCCCTTTAAAGAGATAAAATTATCTTTATCATGGATAGACCAAAAAAAGTCAACTTGAATATTCATAATAAGTTTATCCTCTATGCTAATTTCCTCTTTCTGCCTGTACCAAATCTGTGCCTAGTTATCTGCTGCTACTCTTGCACTTCTAAGTCACATTTCACATTCTTACACCTCTATCACTTGTAGCTTCTCTCCAACCTCTAAGTCACATTTCACCTCCATCTCCTCCTTGCTTTACAAGGGGCCAGAAAAGACTGCTTTGGACTGGAGGTAATAGGCTGTTTTGAAAGACAACCAGGTCTTCAGGTCCCTGGAAACTGGGCGAGAGTGAGGGGGGGTTTCCACAAAATACAATAAAATGTATGTTCTTGGAGCCTGTATCATCCTTTCCTGAGAAATACATTTTAAGGGCCATTACAGTAGTTACATATTTATTCAATGGAATAAAAGTTTGACTAATAAAAACAAGAAGAGAATTACGATCTAGTTGCTGTATGAGATAAATGCAAAGGTTCTCATTCAAAAAGTTCTATCAAGAAGTATATAACTGGCAAAAACAGACTAGTATATAGTTTTTCATATAAATGCTCTAGAGTATCTGACTGAGATAAAGTCCTACAAAGGAAAGAGAAAAAAAATAGTTGGAAACTGTGGTCCAGTTAAAATGGGGATGGTGTGATCAGCAAAGCTTTTTCAAGTTTGCTCGCTTTTTTTTTTTTCACCTGTTGCAATTCAGTTCTGAGGAGACAATTCTTATTCGTCAGAGGCCAAACTACAGCACCACAATTATGCAGGTGGTAGGAAGAATCACAGTATATGACAAAAGAGCTGATCAAGACCTGTAAAACAGCAAATCCTATTCCCAGCATTTTAGAAATAGAGTTTCTGCAGACATTGCAAGGCAAAAAGCAATAACCAAACAAAACAGTAGGAAGCTTTTCTTCAAGACTCAGAAAACAACTGTAACGAAAATCCTTAACTAAGAGGCTGCCAGCAAAGACCTTAAGCTATATTCCAGCTGCAAATGACTGTTCAGGTTTTTATGAGCAGTCTATTGGCTTTGCCCATTGCAATTCTTCACAAAAATGGTTCTTAAAAAAAAATAATAATTTATTTTCAAGGACAATCAGTTAAAATACTAATCATCATGAACTTCAATATCTTTTGAAAGTTAAAGTATCCATTACATATGAATCAATTTTCAATGCAAACTTTAAATTTCTTTGCTTGGTAAAATTAGAGGTTACTGTAAATGCTTCTAGTTCAGGAGAGTAGTTTATGACTTTCAGAAAAATAATTCTGTACTTAATTCCTGACTTAAGAACTATAGATTGTCCTCAAGAGAAAAGCTTCTTTAAATCTTAATACAGCTGCCAACATAGCCTTCATAAAGATTTCAAAGCAACTCCTAAAGTTATCATAATCATTTTTCCCTGAAGCTCATTAAAGTTCCAAATTGCCATTACAGATTAATGTGTCTGACAAAATGATCAGCAGTGAGATATTTTTAATAATATATTTTAAGCTACTTTATTTAGATTTCAGAATTAACATACTCCTCTGAACAAAAACATTTCAGTTGTATGGACTACTATGTCAGGTTTAGGAAGCAAACACAGAACATGGCTATGCACTATTAAAAGCCCCTTTTTAGATTTCTAGGGGAAATGGTTCTAAGCATGTTCAAAATCTAAACTGTTTCTTGACAATTTTAGCAGCACAGATCATTCATACTGGAATTGACATTCAAAACAAACATAAGAATTGTTTTTAAGTTTCCATACAAAACCTATGCAAATAATTTCTCATTTGAAAATATTTTCAGTTCTTTAGAAAAGTAAAGTACTCTTTTTCGGGTTACGAGCACTGTGTTGTTTTGGATAACTAATCTGAAGTGGGATGGGAAGAGGCCATGAAAAAGGTTTGTCCTGCTCTGAACGCAACTTTAAGCAACACTGGGTTTTGGGGACTCTGCAAGATTTTCACAGCAAAACAAAATGCTTCCTATTCCACCATTTAAAGAAGCTTCAAGCACTCCATGCAATTTTGGTTTCAGGAGCATTTTGTTTTAAGAATTAATATGATAACCTTCATTTAAGGTTTTTCCATAATGAATGGTCACTTATATACAATATGATTTCAACGTTAAACAGATGCACTGCTCGAACATTACAGTGAGAATTTCTGACCTGTACAGTATCATAAATGAAGAAATAATCTATTGCTTTGCAATATGAATTTTATATTCACTAAACTGGCACCACAGACACTTCACTTTTAACAAAAATTCACACTAGAGGTAATGATTTTAATTTATCCTCAAGTCTTCTAACTTCATCTCAACAACCACCTGTCCGTATATTTACAGGAAAAGTAGAGAGAGTGGTTTAAAGTTCTTTAGCAGTGCAGATGCTGGTTTTGATATCAGACACACCATGGAAACAGACATTAGCGTCTCCAAATGGGATAACGCATCTTGATAGAGCTTTAATATCTCCCAGAGTTATCACAAGCCAAAGAATAAAATAAGCTTCTGTGTAACTGCTCTGGAGGCATACAATCAAACAACATATCAGTGTGGAACACATGCAGTGAATAGCTGAAAAACTCCAGATACAGTAAGAAGCTTTTGTTTCTCTTGGGAGCCTGGCAGTCCTCCATCCTAGTGAAAGGCTCTCACAACACACAAACCTAACTCCACACATGTATCTGGCTCATATTGCGCTACAGGATACATTTAGGTTTTTTAAAAAAAAAACTTCTACAGCTTTGCAACGGAAAAATATATCTGTGGCAAACTGCAAAGCTGAACATTTATGTTAATAGAAAACTATATAAACCATACTGAACAGTGAGTTTAAACTTGTTCAGCATCTAAATTTTTTCACATTTAAGACCAAACAGGTGATTTACACTGCTTGTTAATCCTCAATTTTTGATGCAGGCCTCCAGATTCTTTTTCTGGATCTTGCCTTTCAATTCAAACAACAAGAGCAAACATAAGCAGCAGCACCACAAAGGGTTGGTGAAACTAACAGCATCATCCTATCCCATCCACTTACAGCCCTGTTACCCTACTTTTAAGCTGAGTTCAACTAAAGAACTCAATTTGACCATCATCTTGAAGACACTGTAATCAGCCAGTATTTTTCTAACCGCTAAGAGTTCAGTGAAAATCTTTAGAAACAAGCATCAGCTTATGCTGATTCCATAGAAAACAAACAAAAAAAATGGCACAAGGGTGTGGAGTCAGTCAAATGAAAATCTGTTTGGGGGATTTCTTAGATTTTACATTTCCTGCATTGATATTCAAGATGTGCAGCTGTACTTACCATTGCTTCCAGGCAAGAAGGATAAGCAGACATCCATAACAAATCCATTTCCAAACTGCAGAATTTCAATGCATTTAGCTGGAAAACAAGAACAGTGTTGATCTCATTCATCATTAAGTATTACTGTTGCACTGTCATTTCCTACTACATTACGTAGTAAATTTCCCAATCAATTTTATTTTAAGGAGCTGAATAACTTCTACTTTTTCAGAAGCCTAAATAATAATGTTATCTTCTGTGGGGCCACAGAAATTCATCCAGAGTCAGCCAAGTTAGAAGATAAATCACTGTTCTCCACTGAGTATTGAAGTCATACAGTTTCATTGTGGTAACACATCAGAAGTGATAAATATTGCAAGTTATATCCTGTGGCAACAACATTCACTACACAGGAAGCTAAAACGGAATCCATTTGCTAGAAGAGCAGACAGAGATGAGCAAGAAAAATCAACTTTCCCGCAAACACCCCTGAGATCCTAGAAGCAGTTAAACTGCTAAGCCATCAAGATCAGAGTAATCAACCTGATAGCAGAAAAACCTCTCTACAGAAGCAGAATTGGACCTTCCACCACTGGAACCCACAACAGCAAGACAAAAAGGAAAGGATGGGACTTCATGGTGTTCTCTGGGAGCATGAGAAACGCCTTCAAGAACACGAGACTGAAGATTGGCAATTCCCACCTATTTCTCTCATGTAGGTAGGGCAATGTGAAATCCTCACGTACACCAAATAAGGAAGAAAGTAGCTTGAGAGACGCAGTCAGTACAACTCAACTAGCAAATAACACTTTAAATCTAGATTATCCACCCTATTTATTTCTTATGTATTTCAAAGAGCTATTCTCCCATGTGCCCAAGCAAGGGCCTAGTTCACCAGAAGGTCAAAATCCTATTATCCCACACTTCATTGGACTCAATTGAGTAGTTTAACCTCACCCTTCTAATGCTAGCATTAATAATTTTCTGAAGTAATTTTACTTTACACACACAGCTAGTTCCCACATTACAGGGCAAAACGATGGTTCAGATTATCAGATTCTGAATACATATTAAGAAGAAACAAGTAAATTCAGCCAACGTATCACTGATGAAAAACAAAGATAAATCATTCTGCAGAACAAATCTGACCCAAAGCTTAAACTAGTATAACCCTGAGCTTTCAAAGAGCAATGCAGTGGTTTGATGTACCAAAGTTTGAAGAAAAATCAATGTAATTGCATTAGAAGATGTTATTACTTAGATAAGTACTTCAATGGATAAGCATTCAGAACTTTTATTAAGACAGTATGTTGTCGCAAATGTTAAAAAAAAAAAAGTTACCTTCTGAACTGTGCCGAGACCAGATTCTCACAGTAGAGTCAGAAGCTGCAGAAGCTATTAGCAGATCTAAATCAGGTTCATCTGACTGGTAGACAGCATCCACAGCACAAACAGCTTCAGCATGGCCTTTGAGAGGAATGCTTTTCACAAGCTGAACACATCAGAAAGTTTTACAAAGTTATACAAATAAACAAAATTAAATTCCAGTAACTTACCTGAGAGAATTTTTAAAGCCATTTTAAGAAATAAAATAATTTAATACTGAAAACAAGTTGTATGCCTGCAATAGCAGAGCATCTGCCAAGCTATACTTAAGCTACAGCATACTTTAGGAAAACACAGAGAATGGATACAGCAATAATGAGTATTAAATTGATAAGATTTTGTTCAAAGCTGAACAGAATTAAATATTCCTGCGTACACTATACAAACCTCACCATTCTTCAAGGAAATCTGGAAACAGTAGAGAAGTTAGGAAGAACAGATTTGCAATCCTTTTTCTCCTCCTCTTGCCCCTCATCCTAAAGAACATCTCAGAAAAGTTTTGAGAACCTTGGTGAAGGAGACAGAGCAAAGAACACAATGGAATAAGTAGCAGCTACAGCAGCTCTAGCAGCAATGTTTAATGTGTTCTCGCAAATCAAAACAGTTTTTACTCCTTCAAAATATTGACATGAAAAACAAAAACTCTAAAATTTACACTTAAGTACCTAATTTCTTGATGAATACAGGTGATTGAATTTGTAATCTGATCTGTTCTTCATAGACACAAAGAGCAAAAGGAGAAGCTTTTAATTCTGTAACAAGCAGCTGTCTGGCATTTATCTGAATTTTGTCATAAACGAACTTGACATATCTTTCCAAAATACAACCTAGTAGGCCCCAATAAGAATTTTTGATTGGTCCACTATAGAACTTTGCCTGTTTGAAAAAGTTTACGCTAGTCTAGAACTGTTGTTAAAATGTGCACATTTAGCCACATTCTTTTTCAAAGACTGCCATAGGGCTGTGCACTTCATCAGCAGATAAGCTTAATAAAGAAATCTGTAAGTTATTTTAAATAACTATGTAAACAGTGACAATGGATCAGCATCAGCAATTATTCATTTCTGAGAACATTCCCCATCAAACTAGGTACATTTCCCCCTAGCATGCATTCTTGTGCATTTTAAAACGCCAAGTTTAATCTAGTTTGAGATAGCCTATAAAATGGGTTACCTACACAGCCATTCACAAACCAATGCCTAGTAAGTAAGATTTTAAAAACTGGATAATAAATTAAAGTATTTTTTAAATCTAAAATTCAGTTCTTTCTGAAGGTTCTTTTACACCTTACTCCATTTTTTGCTTAACATTTTACAGTATGAATAATAAATTAGCATGTGTCCTTACTTTTCTCAATTTCACTGACAAAACTCAACTGTTGCACAGATTTGGGTTTTTTTTAAACATCTACCCTAACTTAACCCATATACAAACACTACGCTGTTCCACAGATTGACCAGAAATCACTAGAAATGGATATAAAGAAACAAGGAAGAAGGGTACAGAAAAATGTCAACTAAAATTAAACCTCATGGTTTGAAGATTTTAAGGCAGTTTAAAGGAAAGTGCTATATGCGATCAGAAAGCTGATGTCTGAAGAACAGGCAAACAGGATCTTTTAGACATGCTAGACAAATCCACCTGATGACTGGTTAGCTAATTTCTTAATGAAAGCTGATTTGAAAAACTACAGAAAAGAAACAACATTTAAAGTAAAACATAGTATGACAGAATACCAACAATTTGAAGGAGACACACATGGGGTTCAATAGTCAAGGTAAAACAAAGAGGTATGAATGAGAAATACAGGCAAAACAGATAATTTGTGGTATGTGAGAAACTGGGGGGGTGGGGGGGAAGCTTCAAAAAGAGGTTTTTACTGCTTACCTGATTATTCCATGTTCCTGTTCCCTTCCATTCCCAAAGAATGAGTTGTTTATCAGATCCACCAGAAATTAACTCTGTTTCAGAAGCTAAAAAAAAAAATAGATTGTGGTAAGTTTTGCAAACACTTACTTTGTAACAGCAGCCAACAACATAAGTAGTTACATTGTTTACTGCTCACAAAATATCATGTATCAACTATAAGGAGAGTTTCCATCAAAATAAAGTATGGCTAATATGACTTGCACTGTGCAGGACAGCTTAAGAGCAAAGGTATTCTCTAAGACAACATAACAAGAAAAGTGACAGGAATATTTAAAGTTCTGCATGAAAGTGATAAATACATCTTTCCAAAAAAGATTCTCAAATCCAACAGTGTAATTTAGTAATCTTTTTTTTTTTTTGTCTCATCTTTTTGGAGGACAGGAAAATAAAGCAAGAGAAATCTAACCAAACAGAAGTCAAAGCTTCACAGGAAAATTTAATTCCCAAGTTCCCTGAAAATAATTTATTTTAATCAATTTTAAGAAGAAAATGTTTTAGTGCAACCAGTTGAAAGAATGGCAGTTTATATCACTATTAAAAAGGAATGTTAGCACCATAGTATTTGCCCCCCAAAAAAGCAACAGGCACATAGCATTAAGTCTAATCAACAGTTCCATTTCTCTTTGTCAGTGAGTTTCTGTAAATACCTAAGGGCAAGGACATGTGCCTTTGACAAGCCTGTACTAAGTAATTCCAGGATTTAGAGTTGCTATCAAGCAAAAGCTTCATAAAGGTCTCAAACATTTCTACCTTGAAAAATTATTTTTTCGTGGCTATGACCTCTATGCAACCTACCACTTTACAGTCGGAGATTTCTTAAAAGGCATTGCAAATCAGTTTACAAAGTCAAAACACGCAAAACTCCAAGCCCCTACTAAAACGCCCAGTGGTAACACAAACATCAGAGCC